ACTAAAAAAGCAAAATCAAAAGTTTTCAATAACGTTTGACGAATGGACATCACAAAATAGTCAGAGATACCTTAACTCAAATGTACATATGGAGGCAAAACACTTTAATCTTGGATTGATTAGAATCCATGGATCGTGTAATGCAGAATATTGCGTCAAGTTAGTTGCAGGAAGGCTAAATAGCTTCAATATCGACCTCCAAAAAGACATTATCGCCATGACCACTGATGGAGCAAGTGTGATGGTGAAAGTCGGTAAAATGATGTCTTGCTATCATCAACTATGTTATGCTCATGGAATACAACTTGCAGTTATTGATATCTTATACAAGAAAAACAACGGAGAAGTCAAAGAATCGTTTACTATAAATGAAAATTGCGAAGAAGAAGATGAACATGAGAACACTGATGATGATGAAGTTATAAATTAAGAATATGGTTTGACAATAATTTTGGACCGACCATCTGCTGAATTGGTTAGCAATTACAAAGATCTCATGAAAAAAGTGAGAAAGGTTGTGAAAATATTTAAAAACTATCCTGTCAAAAATGATACATATTTACAAAAGTATATCCTACATGAACACGGCAAAAAGCTTAAGTTGATTCTTGAGTGTAAAACTAGGTGGAACAGTATGTTCGATATGTTAGAAAGATTTCATAGACTAAAAGTGTGTATTGAAAAAGCCTTAATTGATGTTGGGTCAGAAATTCGTTTGACCCAAGAAGAATGGTCCCAAATTAATGACTTTAATTAATTTGGGACCATTCTTTAATAATAATTATTTGTCTGGCACCACTAAAACTTGGTCTCGAGACCAAGTTTTGCAGGAGAGAATCGAACCTTGTCACTGCGGAAACAACTTTTAAATTTATGTTAGATAAATTACAAAAGCAATCATCACTTTTGAGCATTGATTTAGCCGCAGCACTTCGTGAGAGGTTTACACAATGTCGTAATAAGAATTTAAATGGACTACTGGTTTACTTACAAAATCCTAAAAAATATGAACAAGAAATTTAAAAAAATGAAAATACTTTTTCAATGCCAAAGAGAACCATTATGCGTCAAGAAATAAAAAAAATGTTGACAAGAGTTTATACAATTGAAAGAAATAAAGACGAAGAAAATGAACTCGAAGAAAAAGAAGCTGTAGATTCTGTAAACAATTCCCAAATACTTACTCCTACAATTCTATCGCTGAAAAAAGAATTGGAAAATCATATACAAAAAGACAAGAAAAGCTGGACAGAAAATGTAAAGGAGATACCAAATTTAGATTCTTTAGACTTTGATAAATTATTGAAGCAGGAAATGTCTGCCTATGAAAATAACAGAGTATAAGGCAAGTTTCAAGATATAGTTCATAATTACTTGATGACCATATCACCAACAAACTTAGAGGCCGAGCGAGCTTTTTCAGCTGCTGGTTATATATGCAGTCCTTTGAGGAGTAGATTATGTAATGATACTTTAAGTAGGGTCTGTTTGTTAAGAGCGCATTTCTTACAATGATACTTTCTCATACTTATTTTTAAAAATAAGTAAAGCTAAAAGACGCTCCACGTAAAGCTAAAAGATGTTTTACGTATTTTTATCTTATCCTTTTGTTCCTTAAATTAAGAATTATATTGATTTACAAATGAATTGCGTTTTTGGCTTCATTTACCTCATCTTATCAATTTAATAAGTTGAGCATATTTTTTCTGAAATGATTGAAAGAAAAATACAATTATCATTTTGCCTTTTATAACGTGCATAAGAAATCTACCAATCCCGCGCGGGACCTGCACATAAATTAAAAAATCCGCACGGATCCTGCGGGATTGAAAAGTGTGCAGGATTGCAATCCCTAAATAAAACATTGTCAAATGTTTTTTATTTCTGTTTTTTGAAATTTTTTTATGCGGCATTTATTTACATTAAATTAATTATTGTTAAAAAAAATTTATAGAATAGCCCCTATATATATATTTTATATATATATAGGGGCTATTCTAGATTGTTTTTGACAGTGTCGGCATTTTTGGATAAATTTTATTTATCCAAAAATGCCTTTTAAGGAAATGCTAAAAGGCTAATCAGAGCGAGAAGTATACCAAAAACAATTTGTTTTAATTTTTTTTTTGAAATGTATGTTATAAAAAAATGTTTAAACTCTGATTTCCTCATATTACTGATTCAATTCGTGATTCAATTCGCGAATCATAACCTGCTTTAATTCGAGGTTCGATTTGAAACTAAAGATTCGCAGGGCCCTAATATATATATGTATGTGTTTACAATATATATGTATGTGTATATTCTAGTCCGTTTTTGGGCAGCGCCCAAAAACGGACTAGAATAGCCCCTATATATATATATATATATATATATATATATATATATATATATATATATATATATATATATATATATATATATATATATATATATATATATATATATATATATATATATATATATATATATATATATATATATATATATATATATATATATATATATATATATATATATATATATATATATATTAGGGCTGTACCGGATTTAATTTTTTCAAATCCGGCCGGAGCCGGATTTGCCGGATTTCTACTGACAGATCCGGCTGGAATCGGAGCCAGAGCCGGATTTCAAAACAAAACTACAGGAGCCAAAATCCTGTACATCCCTACTTGGTGTTGAGCATGGTCAACAATGTGGACTATTCAGAATACCAAGTGACTGCTGTTTTCTGTTAAACTTCATTGTTGTTATTTAAAAAGTTTTATAGCAATTTCTATATATAAATTAATAGAAATTCTAAAGAAATTCTATAGGCCATATGTTTTAAAAGTTTATAGTAATTCTGTTGAACTTTTTTTCCGGGATTTTGTCACTCCGCCACTGTAGTGGATCATTGTGTCTATTTATTTCTGGTTCTTTCGGATATTTCCTTAGTTGAGTTTTAATGCCTTTTAGTAATTGTTGTTTATGTGCCCTGCCACCAGCGGACGTAGACTGAATAATTTTATCAATAAAATGCCAGAGTAATGATGATGATGATGTAGAAAAATTATTAAGCCCGGCTTATTTTGGTGGATTTTCTTCAGTTTTGTCAATTTTCTGTTCAGCATGCTCAGATTGACTTCAATCTTGTTTTTTCAGCTGTCAGTGTTGCCTGTAATGAGGAGAATTTAGTTTTAAATTGTGAGTCAACCAGCCTCGTCAGTATATAAAGAGGTTTCTTTTTTCAATGCTTTTAAAACGCTCATCCAATCACTTGATTAGGGTTGACATCATAGTCTTTATACCTGCATCATTGTAGAATATCGTGTGTCTTCCCTTCAGAATTTTTTGTTGCGTTGTTGTTTGAAATTAGACTAAGCTTATTAAATTATAAAGAAATATAAATACAAATACCAAAACAAATATGAGGTTCATAAAATATAGAATTACAAAAAAAAATATGATTTTTATAAATAAAATATTAGGTATACATGTAAACACGGGCAAAAAAAATTAAATAAATATTTGACAAAATTCAAAACTCCAGCTAAAATTATGCCGGATTTGCTAAATTTTTGCCGGAGCCGGATTTGGGCCGGATTTGTAAAAATGGCCGGATTTCGGCCGGAGCAGGAGCCGGAGCCGAAATCCGGTACAGCCCTAATATATATATATATATATATATATATATATATATATATATATATATATATATATATATATATATATATATATATATATATATATATATATATAATATATATATATATATATATATATATATATATATATATATATATAATATATATATAATATATATATAATATATATATAATATATATATAATATATATATAATATATATATATATATATATAACAATAATAATAATAATAATAATAATAATAGTAATAAGTCGCCTTAACAACCGAGAACAGGTGTGGAGTACAATAACATACAAGATATTGTACTATAACAGCTAATATTAGTTTTTGAATAATTATAGTGTTTTATCTCTACACAATTTGTCGAGGTACTTCTTGAATTTGTCAATTAAGTCAGCGTCTATGATTTCATTTGTCAAGTTTTTCCATGGATTAGTTATTCTGTTGAAAAAAAAGTTAAACCTACACTTGCTTTTACAAAAAGATTTATTCAAAGTGTATTTGTGCTGATGTAGGTTTAGATCATGTTTAAAACTTTTATTTTTGTGAACCCAATTCATAATATCTTGATTGTGCTCAATTTTGTATTCTTGGATTAAATCCCCTCGCAGCCTACGCTCTTGTAAGGTTGTCAAATTCATCATTTTTAATCGTTCTTTGTAAGAATATTTTTTGAGTGATGGTATGAGTTTGGTTGCTCTTCATTGAATCTTTTTGATTTTGTCAATATCTTGTTTCAGATAGGGACACCAAAACTTGCACATATATATATATATATATATATATATATATATATATATATATATATATATATATATATATATATATATATATATATATAACTATAAATGTGTTTAGATAAACACTGCAACGTCACACTGCTTCAAAGAATTGTTTCTATATCAACTGAGGGTTTGGCATGAGGTAGCAATTTTTTTTTTCAATTTCTTTTTTTTTTAAAAAAAAAGCAGTATGTTACAAATAAGCAAAACTAGTGAGCATATTTTACCTAAATGCACATAACTGCGTAGAGATTTGGGTTAGGACAGGTATTATCTAATATGAAATTAACTGCGGCAAAAAAAAACCTTTTTTTGTGTGCAAAAGTATAGAATAACAATTTAGCAACCTTAACTTATAAATGCCACCTAAAAATTAATACCCTTACATAAATTCCAATTTAAAGTGACATACTATAAAAAATCTTTTTGATTAAATGCAAGTGTTTGTGTGTGTGTGTGTGTGTGTGTGTGTGTGTGTGTGTGTGTGTGTGTGTGTGTGTGTGTGTGTGTGTGCATGTGCATCATAACAAACTAGACTATGAAATGTTATAAAAAGTAAAACTCACTTCCAAAACCAAAAAGTATTAGCCTGTCTTTATTCACCAAGTCAAAAAATTGAAATGATTCACTAGATTTATCATCATTGCTTGAATACATACGATTTAAGTAAGGATTCGTGCTTCTGTTTTTGTTCATACTTGAAAAACACTTGATTCGCATTTTCATTTGCCTATTTGCTCGAGAGAAGACCCAGCAATACATGCAAGAATTTATTTTAAAAAAATTTTTTGAATAAATTAAAGACATTTTCAGTGTTGTTTAAAGTAAGACATTAACTTGATTGAAGTATTTGTAGCATTAAAACAGATTTCTTCTTTTTTTGGTTTTTGAGACAAATTATTAAACTCATTATGCTTCTAAATAAAGCACGAATAGTAATAAAATATATGCAAGCTTAAAATGAATATATTAAAATTTAATTTTTTCTTTACAAAAGACCATATTTCACTAAAAATCTTTGTAAAAATTTAAAAAATTTTAAATAATAAATAACAATTAAAGAGTAATTATTACCATTTATTTTATTTTTATTTATCATCAATTACAGAGGAAAATATTTTTATAACATATTTTAGTAACTTATTCACTATTACAGATTTCAATTCTCAATTTACGCAGTTCGTGACCGAGAACAAGTCGAAAATCAGATAACTTGCCGAATATAAATACCGTATCTTTTTTTGATCGAGTTCAATTACTTAGTCCAAATGTATTACGACTTATCATGTGTTATAGCACTTATCATGTTATCGTACCATTAAAGCGGATATATTAAATTTCAAAAATTTGTAAGAATGAATAATTTTAGTTTAAGCAATTCTATAATAGTTTTTAGCCTACATACTTAGCAGATACTTATTTCCCAGTCAGAGTTTGCGCTGGGTTCAGTCTTTTTTAATTACTTCAAATACTGCACACATCGCAACAACGCTCTCATCAATGCACAGTGGAGTTTTTGTATAACAAAACCGCATTAAAGTCAAAATATCAAGTTAGCATGAAAATCTTTTAATATTATTATGTTTAAACTCAATAACTGCTTCATTAGATTACGTTTCAAAATATTACCCTCGCTCTTTTTGTCACATTTTCATTCAAAATGCGGCGTTGTTGAGTGAATTTTCGTGAGGAAAAAAAAAATTCGAAAATTCGTGACGATTGTTATTCCAGTTATTGTTTTCAAATTGTTGATATTTAAAAATAAAACTTCTAATTATAGCTAAGGAAGGTATTTAATTTTATTATGTTCAAAAATATAGTACTTACCTTCCTCTATTACATTTAATCCTTTTCAAAAGCGTGTTATTTTATTGTGCATAATATAACACGCTATTTGAGTATTAATTTTGACTCAGAATTGATTATAATGTTTTTGTTTTCAAGTACGGTTTTGTAGAGTTGAATTTTTTTACGAGCAATAACTATAGACTATTAACAATCCGATGTTTTTGTAAAATTATCCCCCAACTATTTTCTATCAACGAAAATAGTGTACAAAGTATTACGTAATATATATCTATATAATTCGTGAAAACTTTTAAAATAGCTATTAAATAAATTCTTATGGTCTATAAATATTTTTAATTTGTAGATCATTTACGACACAGTTACCCGACTTTATATTTATTGAGTTTTTATTTACCTTGTGTCTGAAGGCAACAAATTGCTCATTCGAAGAAAGTTATATGAAATGATGAAAGATAACAAAGATAAAAAAACTGATGAAAAGTTTTTATTATTGAAAGAACAACTTGTAACAGTTATGAAATAGTTGATCAAAAAAGTACCATAAAAAAATTTAAGTTCTTTAAGGGCGATTTCAAGAAAAGATGGACAGCTGCAAGTTATAAACAAACGAACAACAACAACAAGATTTTTATTTTCCTTAAATATTACAATCATATAATCATAATAACATATTACTAATAATAATGATAAGAATATCTATAATATTATAAATAATAAAATCAAAATATAATTATTGGGGATAAATATAAATAATTGCTCGAGGAAGGAGTCACTCATGCAGAATCCTGATCAAAGGAGTGACACCAAATAATTATATTAATAATATTAATTTAAAAAATAATAATAACAATAATAACTTTATTCATTAATAGAGCAACAGTAACAGCAAAAATAATAGTATTTATAACAATTGTAATAATAATAATAATAATAAAAACAACAGTAATGAAAATAATAAATATTAATGACAAAAACAATAAAGTTTCTATAGAAATAGTAAGAAAAATAAGAAAACTATAAGAAGTTAATAATGATAAAAAATTAAAATTAAATTTTTTTTTAGAATTTATTTTGTTTTAAATAAAAAAATGAAGATAAACTATTTTGAAATTTTAACTTTTCCAACTTATTCACAATGCACACAAGACTTCGATTCTATTCACTGATGCACTAATGTGTAATTGAATACTTACCATACCTCAAAGTTTTATAGGGAGGTACATTTAATTTTCCATTATTGATGTTTCTAGTTAAATCTGAATATATAAAGCGAGTTTCAGTGAAGAAGATTGTAATAGAGGAAGGTAAATTTTTATTAAGGGAGTCAAAAACAAAAAGAAGATTAGCAAATTTAACAAGTGCTGACAAGGTAGGAATTTTAAGTTTTTTGAAAAATTTTGAAGTTTCTGTATTATGGAGTTGAAAATTAATTATTCGGATTGATTAGCGCTGAGCTGATAACAATTTAGTAATATTACAGTTGCCAATTTGTCCCCAAACCTGACAACAGTTGTTGAGATGAGATTGAAAAATAACAAAATACAGGTTCTTAAGTGTAGTTTTATCAACATAATGGGGAATTATTGAAAACATGCCATTAGCTCAATTAAGTTTTTTACGGAGTGCATCTATATGAAAATTACATGATAGGTTCGAATCTATAAAAATACCAAGATATTTAATAACGCGTGTTGAGTATAAACGTCTATTATTAATTTTAATTCTAGTTATATGATTGTTGTATAAATTTTTTTGTCTTGGAGATGAAAAAAATATTAGTTCAGTTTTTTTCCAAGTTCAGAGAAATTAAGTTTGCCAATAAACTAAATCTTTTGGGTCTAAGTTTATATTCTTACACAAAGAATGATAAGACTTATTAATATGCAAGATGTTAGTATCATCAGCAAACAGATGGACTGATGAGAAGTGGACAGAGTTATTTAGATAATTTACATAAATCAAAAAAAATGAAGGGCTAAGAGTAGAACCCTGGGGAACACCACAAACTATATGTTTTTTATTTGATTTGTAACCATTAATGCTAACAAACTGCTTTCGATTTCAAAGATAAGATTGAAACCAATTACAAGCAACTCCTCGGATTCCGTAATGTTTAAGTTTAGAAATGAAAATAGTATGATAAACGTTATCGAACGCTTTTTGTAAGTCGATAAAAAAACCACCCACGAAATAACTAGTATTTTTCAGTTATACTTATTAAACCGTGGCAAGTAGAGTGTTTTGATCGAAATCCAAATTGAAATTCATTTAAACAGTTGAAAGAACTCAAAAATGAGTATAATCTAGAATACATTAGTTTTTCAAGGAGCTTGCTCATGTTAGATAGAGTTGAAATCGGTCTATAGTTAGTACATGAGAGTTTTGAGCCATTTTTATATACTGGAATGACACAAGATAATTTCAAAATGTCACGAAAAATTCCATTTAAGAAGGTGATATTAAATAGCTTAGAGAAAATTCAGAATTAAAATCAATAAGTAAGTTTGTCGGGACGCTGTTAGGACCTATTGATTTTCTAGGTTTTAATTTAGTTATAAGTGATGAGATTTCAAAATGGCTTGTTGGAGATATCAGTAAACTATGAAGATTTGGATGTTTAAGACTTTTTATAGCTAATGTAAAATGATTGAATTTTAGAATCAAGTTTATGAGCAACGTTTGTGAAAAAGTTGTTGAATTCTTTGCAGATTAGAGTTGTTTCAGTTATGTATGTTTTGTTAAATTGTATGCAATTTGGAGGTACATGATTGACATTTTTAACATTTATTAGACTTTTTATGCCTTTATTAGACTTTTTATGCCTTATATATATATAACACAAAAAGCGCACTTCAGGAAATACTGATCTTGCAAAATTAACGAATAAATTACTGCCACACATACCGGAAGAAAAAAATACCAAAAAGTACTTTACTCCGCTTTTAAAAAGTAACGGTAAAGAGGTTAACACCTTAAGAGGCTTTTAGCCTCTTAAGGTGTTAACCTCTTTACCGTTGGTTGTTTTGGTTTCTGTTCAAGATTTATAGACCTATAGATGTTAGATTTGAGCCTTTGTTAATTTTTTTTTTTGTGTAATACATATACCATATAAATGTGCTATAAATATAGCATATTTAATCTAATAAAATTGAGTAAAAAAATGCATTTCAAAAAATTCTTCTTTTGTGTTATACATATATAAGGCATAAAAAGTCTAATAAATGTCAAAAAACTGTTTGTAGAAAACAATTTTACCAGAAACCATTTGAAACTTATTCAAAGTAGAAACAGAAATATCTACCTCTGTTGCAACAAGCCAAAAAAGATTGCTACCTAGATAAAGATTCGACACAAGTAACCGAAACAACAGCTGATATTCAATTACAAGCATTATATGACTAAAGCACATTGCGATACAAGAAATAACAAGGGGGTACAAGAAACTACAACTGTTATTCAATTACAAGCATTTTATAAAGCACATTGTGTTTATATAAATATGCTTTAGTAGTGTAGAAAATTGTTTACAAGAAGAACAGAAAAAATGTTATAATATCAAAATACTTCTTCAAATCTCTACTTCATTTAGCTTATAAAATACCATACAAAAGTAGCAAGCTTGATGTGATGAAGAAAAAAAGTTGTCAAAGAGGCAAAGAAAAAAATACAAAAATCATTCAAAAAAAAATTAGAACCTACTAGTAGATATACCTTTAGGTATATCTACTTGATATACCCAAACCAAGTTTTATAGGGCAGGGTTTAGGAATACCAATGATGGCAATACCTTAAGCGATAAGATTTTTTTAACACCCGGAATCCTATTCACCAATCACTGTGTTAACTTGGACTTTATAAAACGTTTAGAGTTATTCTAGAACTCATTTTAAGTGGACATAAGATTGATGCAAGTAGACATTTTGCTCATGAAACTGTCAAAATGTAGTTAAATCGGTAGGGTTGGTATTCCATGATTCCAACAGTGCATAAATTTTTGATACATGATGCCAAAGTATTAACTTGTGTAATCCTTCCTATTGACCACTTATATGAGAAGGCAGCCAAAGTCTAAAACAAACACTTTTGGCAGAACACAAAATATTATTCGAAAATTTTTTCTTATCGATTGCAACACAGACGTACTATCGAATCAGTAGTATTGAGTTCAGACCAGTGCATAAATTGTTGTAGATAAAAACAGCAAAAAAAAACATTTTTTTTTAAAAAGGCAGTCAACTTGTTGAAGACAAGTTTTGTCTTTAACAATCAACAAGCGTTATGACTTT